GCCCATAGCCACAGGCTGTTGACAGACAGACACTGCGACAGCATACAAGTACAGGCTGTTTCCAGGGATAGAGGCGGACATCCTCCCTCTCTCATCCAGAACAGAACAGGAGTGCACATGGCCTCCAGAACACATAGGCATGACGAAGTTGCAGAGCCAGGCACACGCGGACCTAGTGAGAGAGCATGTGGGGGAGACAGGCTGCCTTCAGGGGTCACACACAGACACGGTGTGAGCACATGGGGACAGGCGAACTCCAGAGGCACACACAGACCCAGTGTTATCACATGGGGACCGGCTGAATTTATGCTACTGCAGCTTTTAATTCCCCATTAACACGGATGTGTGTGTTTGATCATTCTTAAAGTGATTCTTTGAAATCGTCTGGGTGCTCCAGTGCTAATCTTCAGTGCATGAATTGTGAAGCTTGCTGATATCCCAGCAGATCGGCAGTGCAGGACTTCATCTTCTTATGGTCCTACTGGTATTAATTTGCCGCTCAATCTAATGAAATATATACAGCGTGTTGTTTAAATATTCGTCTGACACACTTAGTATGGCAGAGCAGAAATGCCTCTTATATTTAGAAGCCTTGCTCTAGAGTTACATATCAGGATACATGCACACTGCTGTTTTGCAGAATGCAGCTGTCCTGTAAGAAGTGAAAGATCTTAATCTGATCCAGGAGCTGAGGCCAGCGATTTAAAGTTTCCATCTGTCTCTGCCTGTAACACATGCAGGGAGGAAAAGAGGGCTTGCTTTCAAGAAGCAGCAAGTGCTTGAAGGATGCAAGAAGGGTGCAGAGAAAAATCTCAGGTCTGGGGCAGTTTTGCCAGCAGGAGGAAGATTCCGTTGTCCTGCTTGGAGTTTCTGTACTGGCATCTCATGTTGCTTGGATTTCCTACAGCTCTCGTGTTTCACTGACTCCAACATCATTTTACAATGCAAACCTGACAGCCCGTTTTTCTCCTCCAACTGTGCAGGGTGTAATACATCTTCATAATGGGCCCAACCCAGCAGGTGCTGACTCAGACAAAAGCCTCATTGTAAAACAAGAGGGGTGACTTAATGATCTGAGAACAGTACTGGGAGCCAGGAGTCACTGATTCCAAATCCCAGCTGTGCCACTGACTCCCTTTGTAGCCTTGAGCAAGTCACTTCACCTCCATTTGCCACACTTTACTGTCTGTAAAATGGGGATAGTACTTTTCTGCATCACAGGGAGATTGTGAAGATTACTTAGTTAACGGATGTAAAACACCACATAAGAGTTAAGCATTATTTTTATTGGTACAAACCTGGTTTTCTTATTCAGCCTTTGCGTGGCTAAATCTTCCATTGATTTCAGTGGAAGTTTTATGAAGAACTGAGTAAACAGGGCAAGATCCCACCCAGACATGATAGGAATGTTGAACTCTAATATTGCACCTGTCATCTGCAAAGCACTGAGATTCTGTTCTGAGAAAGACAGATATTAAAAATTACACAGGGCGATATTGTGACATACACTTTCAAGCAAAATTCTCAGTTGAATCAATAGTAAAAAAATCAATAGCATGATAATAATATCTAACTCGTATATAGTACTTTTCAGCAGTTGATCTCAAGGCACGTAAGCGGTAAGGCGGTAAGCATCATTATCACCACATCTGAGGCTCAGAGCGGTCAAGTCACATGGCTATGTCACCTAGCATGCTGGTGTCAGATCTGTGATCAGAACTCAGACCTGCTGAATCCCAGCCCAGTGCACTAGTCACTAGGCAACACAATCTCCCCAATGAAGATGGGCTATGAAGTAGTCCAGAGAAAAGTACATCGTTGTTAACAGGATTTTTTTTTTTATAAATAAGACTGACTTTCTGTGAAAAATAAAACAAGAATTTTTGATAAATGTAACTTATTAAAAATACAATCTGTTTTGACCTGAGCGTAACTAGCTTCCACCCAACACTCCCAGAAGAGCTAGAGATCTTTCTAGTAAAATGATCAGCCATGAACTAGTTAATAATCTTGACATCTAAACTGTCATAAATAGACTTCAGCATTACCACTGCGCTGTGAAACATGGGGGCAGCAGTTCACATGTTCCTTAGCCACGGGGCTCAATTCCTCTCTCAGTTACAACAGAGTCAGCCTGGAGCAGCTCCACCAGTACCATCTCCATTGATGTCACTGATATCTCTGTAGCTCAGCATAACCTCAAGTTGTTTTGGGTGTCTGTAGATCCAGCTCCTTTCTTTCCGTTACCTAGGTGCTTTGTGTCTGTGTCAATGTACATAGTTAATAGATGGCCCTGGGTTTTGTAGAACCAATAAAGCTCGTTGATGTACACTGCAAATGGCAGCTTTTCCCATTCACTTTTTCCATTTTCATAGTCAATTTTTATTCTCAAAACACCCCCCAAACAATCAAGAAACCCTTGTAAATTACTGAAAACGATTCTGTGCAAATATTTGTCACTGTTCAGGGAAAACTGCCAGCAGTGGCTTGTATCTTTCATCAAGAAGAAGATCACTTGGAAACTCCTGCTATTGATCTTATCTGTTAGGGCCAGAAAAAGCACACCCCATGTCTTTTGTTTCTGTAACTGCAGGTTAAGAGCATGTTGCTTAAACTTCATCCACATCATTCATGAAAAACACAGCAAAAAAACCAACACACTTTGCCCAACTGAACTGAAAACAAATGACAAAAAAAAAAAAAAAAAGACCTAGATGTGTCTGTCCTCATGGCCAGTACACATTGTTGGGGGTTGAAGCTGGTGGTTATAACCGCTGCCCTACATTTAAGACAGATGTAAGAAACAATTAAGCTCCTTTATAGCAGCCTCCACCTCAAAAAGGCATCTGCAAGTTCAGCCAGGAGTCGGAACTATGTGGGTGGAGGGCTTTGCTGGGTATTGTTTTGGGTAAATGTGTGCATGTTGGGGGAAGAAGCACACTGCAAGGGATGCAGAAAGAAGCGCACACAAACAGAGAAGGAAGCTACAGACACAGCCAGAACAAGCAGAGATGTGTGGTTCTGGAAAAGCCTTTAGAGAGAGAAAGCTTTTGGGTCCAGGACTCGCTAAAAGTGGTTTGGGCTGTGGGCCAGGAAACGCTCTTCTGTTGTTTGGGTCTGCTTGTGTTCAGGGAAACAGGACTTTGTGAATAAACAGGATTGCATCAAAGGTACCTGACACCACCCTCAATTTCTCCTCCTAAGTGGAACAACTTGCAAGACCCCAGATTTTTGGTTAGCTGCTCAGGCCACAAGGGGTAAGTCTATGGGGCGAGGAGGAAGGACCCACCTATTGGGCAGTGTTTCAGCCCCTGGTGGCCAATGGGGGCTATCCCTTGTAAGGGAGGCCTTCATTGGAGAGTCTCCAGTCCTTGTAACACATGCTAGAACTGGTCCACTGGGGGTGGAGGGGCATGCCCGTAGAAGGTTTTGCAGGGGAGAAGCAGGCACTAGCCTCATATTTTCAGCCTCTTCTGCCAAATGTGACTCCACCCACTCCCCTCACCCATTGCTGAAAGCTGCTGTCTCATTGGTGTGGATAGGTTCAAACTTTGTCCAGCACCCACATGCTTGACCACTTGTTCTATCAGGGTCTCTCCCACTTTCTTACAAGAGGCACTGAACTTGAGTGACCCAGCCTAGCAGCAGCACAGTCCTTGTTGACATCGGCTGAGTGGGGCTGCTGGGGGAGCTGTGTTTGACACCAGTTGTCAAACATGGCTGAAAATCCTAGGACAGGCACAGCTTTATTGAACATACGTGAATAAATGAAGAGCAGCGATATCAGCACATCAGTAAAGCAAAACTTAGACATAGTAAATTGCAGGGTTTCTTCCTTTCTCTCTTTCACATGATTCAAGTGGTTTAATATAAAAGTCTGTGTGTTTATACAAATCAATAGTACTGTAGGTCAGCAACCTTTGTTAGCTTCACAATCACTGCAGAAATGGGGGCCCAACTCCCAGTTACACTAAGGGGCAGATTTTCAAAGATATTTAGGTGCCAAAAATTGCAGATGGGCACCCACTGGGTTTTTCAAAAGCACGTATGCAGCTTAGATGCCTACGTCCCACTGATTGCAATCCTGCTTAGGCACCTTTGAGAATCACACTTGGTGCCTAGCTGCGCCTTGAGGTGACTTTGAAAATCTGTCCTCAAGGTCCCTGAGCAGAGAAGCAAAGGCCCAGATTGTTCACCACACTGCACTTGAATATTTGGTAATGTTAGGTCCAGATTCTGATTTCCACTGCATGAGTGTAAATCAGGACTAACTCCACTAAGTCAATGGAATTTACTCTGGATTTACTGGAATTTAACCTTTATTGTTTATTGAGGGACTTTCTGCAGCTCTCTCATTAGCCACTCTCCCTGAACACATTCACCATTGCTGCTCGCGGAACACTAATGACCTCGGAACACGTTAACTTTAATTGGCCAAAATGTATGAGGAGAAAGCAGGTACAACTCTATTGTCGTTCCAGGTTTACTCCCTTGAAAATGAGAGCAGAATCTGACCCAAAGTTTTTTAACTAGGTATTTTCTATTCCATCAGTCTTGCTAGGAGCCACCATTCGAGACTGCTGCTGCACGTGGAAAAACAGGCATTTGGCTCCAAATTTTGCTCTTGCTTACCCCAGTGTAAACTAGGAATAACTCCTCTCAATTCAGTAGACTTACTCTGAACTTACACTAGAATGACAGAGCAGAGTTCAACCCTTACTGCCCACCATGGTGTTGATCTTTTACTGGACTATTTTATACTGCAATAATTAAAACTTACATCTGCCGTGAAAACGGAACAGAAGATCCTCTTCACCCTGGCCTGCGTGAGCAGCACCAACTAAGCCAGGCCACCCTTTGTTCTTGGCCTGGTTCCTTTTATTCTGAAACCTAATTTCTCCGAAGTGGTTTGAAAAAAAACCAAACTAATCATTAAAATAACAGTAATAAAAAAATGAGTGACAAGGAACCTTAGGAAAGACACTTCCCACACACCAGTGTGAACATGATTAGTTAAAACCAATTTTATTCTGCCTCTCAATGACAATTTTGTTACACCTGATAATAATGCAAGTTACAAAACATTTGTAATCCGTGAAACAGTATCCAAAAATCATTAAGACGTGCTCAGAACGGGGCAGTTCCTGGGGTTATTGAAATCAGTGGCAAACAAACTCCAAACTGGGCAAATTCTACCAGTGTAAATCCTGACCTTCGTGGAATGACTCAAGATTTATACTAGTGTCATTAAGAACAGAATTTACATCACTGACTTCAATGAAAAATCAGAAATTGGCCACCATAAAGGCAGAAACAAACAACCCCCCCCCACAGTACAATTCTGTTAAAAACCTAACCTCAGTGCACAGAAAATACACTCTGTTGCCGGATAGCTGCTTTGACAGGCACAGGTTTCTGAAGATTATTCCTTTGCAATAGCGTAGTTGTACTCGTTCCAGGCATGATTCTCTTCTCATTGACGCCTGTTTTACACCAGTAAAATTCTACTGATTTCAGTGGGGTCACTCCTGAGTTACACCATTGTGAATGAGAGGAGAATGAGTGTACATTGAAGTTGTAATAATAACTTAGCCAACGGAGCTACAACGACTTACCCCAGTGGAGGATGTGGCCCTCCATGTTAATCTTTACTGCCCTTCGTCCTTCTTGAGCACCGATTATTTTGCTTACAAAAACAAATTTGTTCTCTTAAGTTTTCAGCTGAGAAAGTGCAGTTGTATTGTCCTGCGTTCTGCTGTTTGCTTAGGGGCAGCATCTTCCCTCCTTAGAGTGCATCTACACAGCCCCTGGCAGCAAGCCCACCCCCTCCCTAGGCTTCTGACTCCAAGCTCCAGCCCAAGCTGCCGCTTCAAGGCGTTGTCTACACAGCTATTTTTACAGTGTTAGTGCAAGCCGTGCTAGCCCGAGTGTGTTGTCCCGGGCTGAGAGGTTCTCTACCCTGGGCTGTGTAGACGTACCCTCACTCTTACTGATCAGTACCTCACTCTCTGAGCAGGTCGTTGTATTATTAGTCCGATGCTACTCAGCGTAACTCAGGGTGGCAGGATCTGTGTCTTACCGAGTGCACTGACTTACAAACGATCGCGGCAGGATGAGTTGGTGAATCAAACACAAACACTAATGAAGTGGGGCACAATCTGATGAACTGATTTGCTAAAGACACTGTAAAAAATGGATTGACAAGCACATCGACTAAAATGCACCTATTTTGTCAGAAAAAAAATGAGAAAATGTTCTTATAGACACAGCACGGAAGAGGAAAATATGCTTAGTGCACGTTCAAAGTGTGTCTGTGGGGGGGACAATGCAAGGTGGCTCAACAGTAGAAGACAACAGATGTGAGAGGTCGTTTGGAAGAAATGCATATAGATTCACAATATGGGACAAGAGATTCCCTTCATAATCAACTGATTAAAATCAGCCTTCAGATGGTGAAAAAAAACAAGGTGATAGACAGAAAAGCTCGGGATGACTAAGAAGGAAAGAACTGGGTGACTCTATAGCAGAGAAAAACTGACCATAAATTTGTTATTTAGTATGATTACATGCTAAGGCAATTTTAAAATATTATACAAATCTTTCAGGGCCCAATCCAAAGCCCCATGATGTCAATGGGAGTCATACTACTAGCTTCACCGGGCTTAGGATGAGGCCATGAATCATGTGCTGTAAACAGTATAGACAAGTTGGTTTGTGTCACTAAGTTCAACCAGTGAACACCCATGGACTCAGGGCACCCTCTGCATAAGAGAGAAAGTAAAGTCGGTCACAACGGGCCAAGAACCCACTGTACATTAGGATAGGAGGGTGTGCATTGCTCTATACCAAGATTCTTTTTCAAATAAATAACTTTGCACATCTGGTCACGCCACTTTGATGTGCTAACTTTGGACTATTAGTTCATCCACCAGCAACTTGCCTCTGGAGAGGGACTTGGAGGGTCAAATCTAACAGTCTGGAATGAAGGATTTTTTTCCCCCTTCTTCACGCATTTCCTTCCCAGAGTTTAGATAATGATAATCCTTCATGCTCAGTCCTGGTCTTCAGATAGCATGCTGCAATGGCACAAAAATATGTATTTTTGAGAGAGAGAGAGAGAGAGAGAGAGATCTGCATTTAAATTATTCATTCTACAGGCCTAATGGATGCATTATTTAATGGCACTTGTTCCTATTAAACAAACATCCCAGTGGATTAGTGGTTCAATATACTTTTGAAGCAAAGCATTATGTTTCCATTGGCATCAGTCTACTCTCAGTCAGACCTGAATTTTTAATCAGGGTTACCTAAATCAGTGTAGTCTAGGATCGTCTGATTGCCAGGAAACAGTCTAATGTTTGCTAAGGGGTCAGTCAACATTTTCAAAAGGGCAGTAGGAGCTCTTTCCCCTTAAACTGTAAAAATCAGCCAGGCAAGAACATGGTTTTGCAAGTGACACCAATGTCTGATATTGTGGAAATGCATTATGGGTTGTCAAGGTCCTTATTCAAGGCCTGATCGCCCCTCCTGTGGGCCGTGGGTAGGGGAGGAAAACTCTGAGAGGTTCCCTTTATGGAGTTTCCTGCTGATTCTTGTGTTGGGGGCAGGGCCTGCCTGCCCCCCAGAGAAGCAGCAGGTGTGGCCCTCAGAACCCATGACTCCCTCAAGGGTGCTGGGCTCTCTGTTGTTCCCCCTCCCTCTTTTCTGGACAATTTCCATAACGTCTCCCGCAATCAGCTGCCCCAGGAATGCCTTAAAGGAGATGCCAAGCATGGAAGAGGGAGCTCCATGAAACAGTAAATGCAGCCTCAGACTGTGTTTACTCTTTAGCAAATTTACAGCTGGGAACTGAGCAGGACTAAGTCCGGTCCTCAATGGAAAGGGCGAAAGCTGGTGCAAAGGGTCCCCTCCATGCACAGGTCTGAGGGGAACAATTGGGCCATCATTTTTTATTCAGTTCTTACTCAGGGAAAGCTCCTGTTAAGGCTGGAGAGAAGGCGATCTGAGTCAGGACTTAGAGGATTCTCTGCCATTCTCAGGACCAGGCCAAAGATAAATAAGGACTTCCAGGCTTGCCCTAAGTTTTGCTGGGGTGCCCAAATTGTGCCCAATCAAAGGGGCTTCACTACCAATCTGCCAAGAGCTGGAGCTGCCCTTAGCTTATGGAAAACAGAGCAGGTTGCAGCCAGCCTCGTCTTCTATATAGAGGTGCAGGCTGCAGAGTTCACAGGTCTGAGCATTCAGGCTATATAGGTCACTCCATTAATAAATAGGAGGGAAGCTGCAGGCCATTTTGTAGGATGTCTGTCTCCATCCATTGTGTCTTGTCTAAGATTGGAAGCTCTTTGGGGAAAGGACCGCCTTTTTGTTCTGTGTTTGTGCAGCACCTAGCGTAATGGGGTCCTGGTCACTGGCTAGGGCTCCTGGGTGCTACAGGAATGCAAATAAAAATAATAGTTAGCCAAACTTTGGAGCCCCTGCCCTAGGTGTGTTCTTTATCCTCCTGTCAGAATGCTGATAACACTGAACAGCCCCGGACTCTGCTTGCCACTGGGCTCTTTGGTTTATAAATACCTTTAACATGATGCCTGTGGGCTGGGAGAAGGCCTTTGTGGAGGGATGGCTGTGCGGTTAACATCACAGTCACATTAGTGTTGGAGGAGGAAGCATAGCCATGCAGTCTGAGACCAGAACAGTGAGTGAAAAGATCTGGGTCCTGTGCCCACCTCTGCCACAGACTCGCTGTGTAACCGTGGGCAAGTCAAGTCATCTAGCGACTCCTTAATTTAGCCTATCTGGAACATGGGGAATATAATAATGTCAAGACTCACAGGGCATTAAGGGTATGTTTACGTAGCCTGTGGCAGTGAGCCTCCCAGCCTCATCGTCAAGAGACTTGTGCTAACAGGACTCACGCTAGCGCTCTAAAATGCCGAGCCCGAGTTCCAGCCTCGGCAGCAACTTCGAAGCACTGTCTACAGGGCTATTTTTGGACCGCTAGCATGAGCCCTGCAAGCCCAAAGTCTGTCAACCTGGGTTGGGAGCTCACTGCCATGGGCTGCGTGGTCATGTCCTGTGAGGCTTAATACACTCCTGATTGTCAAGTACCTGGAGGTCCTCAGGTGGAAAATGCTACAGAAGTGAAGAGTATTATCGTTATGTATCTTTTCCTTCCACAGAGTAATTGAGAAATTAGTAAGAAAAGATCTCAGTGTACACTGTGCCTGGCAGATTGCATAATTGCTTAATCCTCTTCCTTCCAGCAAGGATTGCCCAACACGAAATCATAATGTCTGGGGGTTAGCTGAGGCCCTGTGATCGTTAAAAAGAAAGGGACTAGTACTTTCAATGGTTTTAGAAAGCCTGACTGTTCCCATATCTCCTCTATGAGCCACGGGAAAGGGTTATTTCCTGAAAGCTCTCTGGGACTTGCATGGGGTGAAGCGCCGTCTAAACAGAGATAAAAGGGGGAGTCAAAATGCTTCTCTGCGTCAATGTTAAAATATCCTAACAGTTGGGATGAAATTCTAAAGGAGCTGAACACAGACTGCCCTCCTCATGTGTGTATCCACCAGCTGGTAACTCGATTCGCCCTTTGGCAGCTCGGTTCCTGACAAATTGGGAGGATGAGCTGTTGATGTGAATGAAAACTGCTCCGAGTGCCTGTCCATTGGCAGGCACCCCTTGTATCCCTTCCCTTTAGTATTTTGGCCACCCCTCCTCATCCTCAGGCTGTCTGTATTTCACAGTCAGGTCTATACAGCCGGGTGAGTGTTTTTACTTTGCTGTATCAGTGCTTAGTGGTTCCCCACATTTCTATTCAGCTCTCTCCAACTTACTTTGACTAGTAAATCCCTTCAGAGCCCCATACCAAAGAACTGGTTGTTAGTGGACGTGTTTCAGTGCTTAATGGGAAAACAAAACAAATCTGATCTCTAACTCTGCTCCCAACAGCGCCCGCATCACTACTTGCACACATGTTTGAGTCAAACTGACGTGGTTTTAAAAATAAGGACTGTAAAAGGCTGTATAAAAATCACAGATTACTCACAGAATCGGGAGCAAATCCAGTCCTGCTGCAGAGGGCGAGGGGGCTCCCCTGGGAGCATAGTATAAATATGACAAATAAATATGCTTTTAAAAACATTGAAAAATTGGGGCCTCCCTCATTTCCCTGCTGCGACCTGAGCTCAGGAGTCTGTGTCCTCGCTGCACTAGTGAGACCGGAATGAAATCTGTAGCTCCCTGGACTCCACAGCTGTCAGCAGGAACACAACTGTAAGACCCTCTGCTCCACAAATCCAGGTCTCTGTCAGCTGCACCAAAGAAGAATCCCCATTCGCTATAGCTGGGGCAGAGAGGAGAGCTTTGGAAGGCTGCACTCACCAGCAGGCAACATGGATCCTCACCCAAAGCCCAGTGAGGTTGGTGGAAAGACTCATCGACTTCAATGGACTTTAGCTCAGGCCCATGATGACATTGGCAGGTCCGACATTGGCACACCTACCGTTCACTCCGACTAGCCCCATTACGGCGTAGTTATGGCCTAACGCAGTGTGAAGGGAACTGCTCCCTGCCCTGTTTAGGTCGTATTGGCTCCTGCAGGGCAAACACAGCTTTTTTCACCTAGATAAAATGCCTTTAGCTTCACCTTTGGGGCTAAACTTGGTGGTGAGGTAAGCAGTGGCTTAAGTTACGTTTTAGCAAGTCAGTGTGAGTGTCAGTTACATACCGAAGGAGTGGAAGGGGTTGTGCATACAGGGAAGGAAACTAACAGGAGAGGGTACAAGGTATAGCAGGGAAGGGGCCTTCTTTATCTTACACCTTCTGTTTGGCCTTGTCTGCATTGGGAATAGCCCCGATTCAGTAGTCAAAGTAGTTCAACTAGCACTGGCTCCAAAGCATAGACAAGGACAGGCCAAAGTTTGCACCGATTGAGATAATCAAGTCTTACCCTTGCACCATTAGTGAAAATGTCAATCGTGCAAATATAGAAACAAAACTCAAAATCTGATTTGGCCTGATCCTCAGCTGGTATAACTTGGAGTAAGCGCCATTGATTTCCAGATGAGGATTGGATTTATACCGAATGAGATTTTCAATCTTCTCTCGAGTTGCCCCAGTGAATTGAGAAAGTAAATCCATCTAGTTTTGAAAGTATCCAATTTAAACCAAACACGAATCTGTTTCCTCTGAGGCTGGTGCTGCTAAGTCTGTATTCTGCTAACGATTTGGCCTCTAAACACTTTGTGCATTTGTTTTATTTTGAAACAACATTTCCGTGCAAAATTTAAAGGTGAATCTAAACACGTCTCATTCGACATGTACTTGCTGTGAAATCTATTAATGCAGCTAAAGTGACCCCAGGGCCAGGCTAATGACTGGGCAGATGGAGCACTGGTTTAGAAACTCCAAACTGTGGGGCGCTTTAGCCTCTCAATGTCCTACCGAACATTATGTCTAGGGACTCCATACTCCCTTAACCAGGCTGTACCTCATACTATCTGTCAGATGTCATTTCCCAGCTTAAAATGGATGTTTCCCACATGTCCTTGTGATGCGGTGTCCACCCTGCACATGGCCTGCACAGCTAAAATAGGCCCATTAATCTACAGGCTGCACCTGGAGGGGAGCGAGTGACTGGTAAAGCCGAATGGCTGATGAAGCCCAGCTGGGGGAGGAGCTGGGACAGGCTTATAAAGAAAGGAAGTTGGTGGTAGGAGGTGGTCTGCAGGGAGGAGCTGTGCTGTCACTCCCTAGAGGGGAGGGGAGTTGACTCAGTACAAGGAGGAGAACTAGGTGGAGAGTGAGCCCTGGGAACCAGTCTTGGACTACAGACTCTGACAAGTAGCCGAGAGGGGGAAGTAGCCATGGGGAGCAGAGGGGGCCGCAGTGGTAACCCAGAGGTGGGCCAGATGATAGGGCAGAAAGGTAGGAAAGAGCCCAGGGAAACAGCAACAAGACTGGACCTTGAGCAGATAGTGGTGGCTGGACGTAGGGTCCCTGGCTGCAGTCCAGAGTGGTGGGTGGGCCCAGGTTCCCCTATTGCCTGGGCCAAGGGCCTTTGACACCTCAGAATGGGAGGACTAGGTGATTTGGCCGGAGGACTGAATGATGAAGAGGGCGTAACCTGAGTCCAGAGAGAGAGACTGCGGGGCAAGCAACCGAAGGAGGGGGCCTCAGACCAATTGAGAGCTAGTCCCCAGACAAGCCACAAAAGGAGGCACCCCAGCAGTGAGTAGTGAGCCCCATTATAGCCCCCTAGAGAGAAAGTGCTATCCTGACAGACAGGAGAACAACTTCTGCTCTGAGGGTCACCCGTACAAGCCCAGAACTTGGCTCAGTGTCTGCCTCCTGGTAAATCTTTACCATGAAAACAGACTCTAGACATTTCCCAACATATTGGGCCAGCCTCCCAGCTGCTCTAACCCTCCGACTGGTTCCTCAGGACTCAGAGGGATTGAATAAAACTATTCAGGCTATGCAGGGAAGGGCAGGATTCCTCCGAGGGTAGGAGCTCACTGAAATATAAAGAGCTCTTCTCCCTTCTGAATCCACCAGTCCCCTGCCCTGATCTATTTTCAGTCTGCTGCAGAACAATCTTTGGCAGTTCCTGTGATACGCAAGCTGTTAGTGGACCTCGCCACATGCTCTAGTTCTTCCCAGCTGTGTCTGATCTTTGAGCTCATCTGCAGGAGCGACAAGGCCCTTGTCACAGAGAGCAGAATTCGAGGGCCCAGTGGCAGCCTGATTCTGCAGGCACATTGCCTTAGCAGGCCCACAATCTATCACAGAGAATGACAAACCTGACAGTGGTCACTCCAAATCCATTTCTGTTCACGCCACAGTTCAGAAATGCCAGACTTGGCTAGAAAATTCAAGGGGAATCCCAAGAACACCTACCGAATCCTGTTTCCCCGTTGAAGTTAAGGTGGGGCCTGCAGTTAATAGAAAGTACAATTCTTGCCATTGTTTTGTGTTGGGGTGGAATATCCCTCATTTCCCCCTCTGCCACGGCTACCATCACTACCCCCAACAGCCCAGCCCTGCATTACTAGGAGTTTCCAGCCAGCTGAGGATGGCTTGGTGTGGGTACCGCTGGAGCCTTCCTACAACTCTGATCCAACCACTAGCCTGAGGGCTTGCTCCCTCTCCTGAGGGACTGAGCACATGTGTATCTTCAGGGATGGAGGGGCCAAAAGAGGAGAAGCTGGAACAAACTGATAACAGTGGCTGGGATTATGAAAGGGACCTAACGGAATCAGGTGTAATTCAAAAGGAGTAGGGTCCTTTGAAAACCTCTGTCGAAAAGTGCAAGTCACCAGATGGTCTTAATCCAAAGCATTCTGAAAGAATTTAAGCATGACAGGGCTGAGCTTCTACCAAAAACAGGGACTCATTAAATCAGCGACTGGACCAGAGAGTAGCAAATATTGTATGTGTCCTAAAAAAAATGCTAGGCGTGATCCTGGGCATTACAGGTCAGTTAAGCCATTACGCCAATAACAAGTAAATTGGATGAAGCAATAATGAAAGAATTATAAAACACTGAGCCGAACATACAAATCAGCCTGGCTTCCGTAAAGAAAAATCATGCCTCTAATCTGTTCAAATTCTTTGAAGGAATCAGCACACTAGTAGATAAGGAGAAGAGGCAGGTATAATTTCATCAAAGCTTTATGAACGCCCAAATGAAGTTGTCTGCAAGCTCTTCAAGAAACCAAGTAGTCTTGAGAGGAGAGGTAAAACTGGCTGCAAACAATAAACAAAGAGGAGGAATTTTCCAGGAGGTTAATCGTGGGGCGTCCCAAAGGATCCATAACGAGACTTGTTATTAAATATCTTTATTAGTTATCTGGAAAGGAGATGAACTATAAGGGGGCAAAATTTACCAGTGACCAAAATCATTTAGGCTACTCAAGACTTGACAAGACTGAGGAACTTAGGAGGGAGCTAGCAATGACCGATGATGGGATAACATGACAGCAGGTGGAATTCAGTGTTGATAAACACAAGTTAATGCTACTGGCCCAGCTTTTTATATTAACTATATCCTGGCTGAAAAAACGGTACACGTCATAGTACACAGCTCCGTGAATACATCTACTCCACACACAGCAGCAATCGTCAAATAAAGCAAACTCCAGGCTACTTTGCACCAATGTAAAGGGGCCTTAAAGTCAGTATAAAAGCAGGTTTCCCGCACAGGTCCTTTTCCATTACCAGTGTAACATGGCCCTGCTGTAAATGATACTCAGGCCCCGGTGTTTGGCTGGATTAAGAGTGAGACAGATAATATGGGGACTATTATAATGTCATTATTTACATCAATGTTACATTCTCCACTGAAACACCGTGGGCACCCTCATCTTGAAAAGCACTTAGTGTTCAATAGAAATGGTCCAAGGAAAGGCAACAACAATGAGTAGATGCATGGGAAGACTTCTACTGAAGAGAGATTAGAGGTTTTTACACTAGAAAATGAAGACTGGGAAGTGAAGAACATAAGAATGGCCCTACTGGGTCAGACCAAAGGTCCATCTAGCCCAGTATCCTGTCTTCTGACAGTGGCCAGTGCCAGGTGCCCCAGAGGGAATGAACAGAACAGGGAATCATCAAGTGATCCATTCCTTGTCACCCATTCCCAGCTGCTGACAAACAGAGGCTAGGGACACCATCCCTGCCCATCCTGGCTAATAGCCATTGATGGACCTATCCTCTATGAACTTATCTAGTTCTTTTTTGAACCCTGTTATAGTCTTGTCTTGGCCTTCACAACATCCTCTGGCAAGGAGTTCCAAAAGTTGACTGTGCATTGTGTGAAAAAATACTTCCTTTTGTTTGTTTTAAACCTGCTGCCTCTTAATTTCATTTGGTGACCCCTAGTTTGTGTGTTACGAGAAGGAGTAAATAACACTTCCTTATTTACTTTCTCCACACCAGTCATGATTTTATAGACCTCTATCATATCTCCCCTTAGTCATCTCTTTTCCAAGCTGAAAAGTTCCAGTCTTATTAATCTCTCCTCATATGGCAGCTGTTCCATACCCCTAATATTTTTTGTTGCCCTTTTCTGAACCTCTTCCAAGTCCAATATATCTTTTTTGGGATGGGACGACCACATCTGCACACAGTTTTGAGAGATCCTTTTGTAGCTCTTCACAGTCTGCCTGGGACTTAACTATCTTGAGTAGTTTTGTATCATCTGCAAATGTTGCCACCTCACAGTTTACCCCTTTTTCCAGATCTGGTAAGAATATGTTGAATAGGACTGGGGCCCTGGGGGACACCACTATTTACCTCTCTCCATTCTGAAAACTGACCATTTATTCCTACCCTTTGTTTGCTATCTTTTAACCAGTTACCAATTCATGAGAGGACCTGCCCTCTTATCCCATGACTGCTTATGAAGAAAAAGTGGCATATCAGGCAGATATCAGAAAAGGTCAGTTGGGTGAGCCTGTTTGCACATTCTCATTATACAAGAAAAAGGAGAGCTGCTGCCCCAGTCAAAAGATTCCTCAATGACGAGAGAGAGGAGAAGGAAAAGAAATGGAGGGGCTGTGCAGTTAGAGAGACGGTAGGGGCTGTGCAGTTAGAGACCCTACCGCCGGAGTCTGTGATCCTATCAGGTTTCAAGCAAAGCAAGGCAAGATTGGGCAACTATTTGGACAGGAGACCTCTAAGGAAACTCTTGGCTTTGAGTCAGTACAGGAATCAATATCTCGGTATGCTGCTAAAGGGCACTGTGCTATTGGAGGTTCTCTCCTTCCAGTGAGCTAGACAGCTAAGTCCCTGACCTCACGTCACTTTTCATAAACATAGGTGTGCTGTCTCCAACCTCCTATGTAATTACAGTCTATTTCCTTAACTTCTCCCTGCAGTCATTGTTCTGTCTGAAGTGGCTGTGCACTGTTAAATGGTCACTGCATTCCACTCCCCAGAGATGGCTGCATTTCAGTGGTGGCTGAGGTGCTCTCTCTTTACAGGTTGTACATTAGCTTGTAAAGCATTTTGGAAGGAAGGGGTTCTGTAGAGGTTAGATGATAATAAATGGATTTAACTGTGTGGAATGCACATTGCTAAAGAGAAAAGAACATATTATTGCTCTGCCTGAAGAGAATATATTGTTGTCCTAATTATTTCTGTCCTGTTTTCATTATAAACGTGTCCTCTGCCTGGATAAATCATTTGAGAGAGACAAAAAAGGACTTGTTTCTCCTCCAGGGCTACAAAAAGATAAAAGCTGATCATCTGGACATAGGAGTGTGTGTGGACAACTTTCACTTATAGCAAGGCAATGAGAAACAGATGGTTGCTTTTTGGCATGATTATTGCTAGTTAATACCAAAACATGAATCAGTAATCACATCTCTTCTCCTGTTTGGCAATGTTACAATAGATCCAGTGTCTCTTTTCTGATCCTGAGATTTGGTATTTATACACACTAGAATTTTGCATCTGAGGAGCTCCATTCACTTCATTTTACAGGTAGGGAAACTGAGGCATGGAGCAATAAGTGACTTTCCCAAGGTACACAGTGAGTGAGTTGCGAAGGTTGGAGGAGATCCCAGTATGCCTATCACACAGTCCTCTTCTCTAACCACCAGACAACACTACCTCCTTTACTTCTAAATAAGAAATAATGCAAAAATTGCTTTTAGTTAATGAGAGTGAACCCTTGAATTATAACATGAACATTGTGAATAGTGTCAGTCTGCCATAGTCGTCAATCTCTTATAATGAAGCTCCTGTTCAAGGAAGAACTACTTGTATTGGAAACGACCAAACTTTTCTTACCGTTGTGAAGTGAACTACACAATAGATCCCAATAATCAGAAGGCCAATCATGATTGATGCCACAGCAACCCAGAGTGCATTGCGACCCAGTCTTCTTGATCCTTCTATGTCTCCTTGACTATAACTATTTAAAGCCTGCAGAACAGAAACAGAATTTGTGACTATTGTTAAACAACTCAATCCACCCCTCAGTTCAATTGACGTCACTACGTTTAGTGCCCTGCATTTTGGGACCATAGACAAGATTTCAGAATACTGAGCATTATTTTTAGAACACATATTTGTACTAAGTGAGGTTCATTGTAACAAGGGATTCTGGTTTCCAGTTTCTATGTTCACAAAATTTCAGGGCTTATTCTTGGCTAGTTTAGGTCTCAATTGTGCAACTCTAAGGTCTTGTCTACACATAAAAAATAATCAAGAATAAAGTAGCATGTGAATTCAAAGTGGATTCATTATTCCTGATTTAATCCATTTTGGCATCCAAACATGGAGTTAATTAATTTAGAATAAGGCACTCTTATTCTAGAATAACACATGGAGTTAATCAGGAATAGTTAATCAGGAACATCTAGTCCAGAATAACTTCCCAGGCAGACAAGCCTTTACTTCAGTGAGTAGCCCCACTGAAGTCATCAACATAAGGATTACTGAATCAACGCTCACCACACTCATTCCCATGCATCACTGACTCGCACTATCCTAGAAAAACCTTTTTTTCCTGCTTGATTTGAATTGTGATTTGCATTTGAGCAGAAATCGGCTGTTTCGTTAGCAATGAAATAACCCCAAAAACTAAAAGAAAACCAACCGATCTCATGTATTGTTCACGCCTGTTGTATTACATTAGATGGAATAAATGGGCCCAAAAAGTCAAAGGTGTTAACATGACCCTGTCACTGTCCAGACTTACGCAGTTTTAAACAAGGCTTGGTTACACAGAGACCCCAGCCTGCTTAGTACCATGGCAAACACACCAGAAAAAATCTTTGTCACCCTTTTTTAAAGATACAGAAAGAAGAAGGGAATACAATTCAAGCATTTGCAATGTAAAGTATTAAGGAAGCCTTTCATTTTAGCAACGTCCCTTGTTCCCATTTCCTTTAGTTGGAGAGAGGTTTTAGAATGAACGCCCCCCCCTGCCATTTCACAGACTCTTAGATGGTATTAAAGCTGGCAATAACAGTCCTCTTGGGGAAAAGAGAAGACGTGAACTGAAATGGACTGGAGCTGCTGTTGTTAGAATCCAATCCTGTTTCCTAACCAACAAGGTAATCGCACACAACAGGGGAAAGAAATGAACAGCACAGGTAGAAAATGCAGCTTCTCTCTCTGGTGTTGATTCTCACTTGCAGCCTCACTGCTGGAAAAACACATGTAACTCTTCTGCCCATCTAAGTTGGCAGCAACAAGGGCCGGGTTCTGTATCTAGAGGTTCCGTTTCAATAACGCAATGCAAAACCGGCTCGAGCCCCCACCAGTGACCTGGGACAATTTACATACCACTCCCTGGGTGCCTCTAAGAGGCAATACTTCCCCTCTCGCAAACACGGAGTCTGAGTGTAGCAGAAAATGTTTAATAACATGAGGTAAACAACATCAGCATTAAATTGGAAAAACACCACAAACAGGATTCATAACACAAACCATGAGCAAAAGACCCACCCCAGCAAATTGGGCTGTGTCCTTTCCCTTTGGTTCTTGAATCCAGCAACCCCAAAATCACCCAGAGTCCCCAAAGTCCAACACCCCCAAAGTTTCTTGGGTCCAGCAACCACCCAAAGTCCCAAAAGTCCAACAACCCCCAAAGTCTCTGTCCCTGGTCAGTGCAGCCCCAGAGTAAAAGGGGGGGCACGCAGGGTGTTAAGGGGCACCTTATGTGATCTGAGGCCAGCCGGCCGTCTCTCCGTGGGGTTCCGCCACAGCCTTCACCACGAGTCAGTCCACTTCCTGCCGTCCCACGAACTGCTCTGCTCTACGAGCTGCTCCACTCCGCTCACCAACCTGTGAGTCGCTCCAGCCGTCCCTGCAAACAGCTCCGCTCACCGTTCCTTGGGCCGCTCCAACCGGCCCCGCAAGGCTCCGCGCCGCTCCTCCGGTCGTCCCCGCAAATTGCTCCACCAGCTGCTTAGCAATATAGCTTCAGGCTCCCCCACTAGTTAACACAGCACTCAGCTCTTAATAACTTCAGCTCTTGTAATTTCAGCTCTTAGTGATTTCAGCTCTTAGTAGGGGAGCCCCAGTGCTGGTGCACCATTGGCCCAAAGTGAATTCAGCTCAGCAGCCTGTAACTAGACTTCTAATGGAATCAAAGTTAGCTCTGACATTCAACAGTGGAAAAATGAGGTGGTGTAATTGGTGTTTCAAGCCCTCAAAGGGGGCCCATTCCATCAGATATAAATTAGAGAATGTTTTCACTTCAAGGTCCCAGAAACAAAGGCAAGATTTTCATCTCGAGGCCAAAAGGCCAAAAACATCAAGACACTTGATCACGGCCTTGGATATACCAAGAGACTACCTACACTTGACCAGAACTCAATAGCCCCATCCTCTCTCCATTCACTGGGTTTTGTAACCCATGCCCCTTGTCAAGCAAGTGCTACTTAGGTAATGGTGAGTCCTTCTGTCATACAACAGTTCCACTGGCCTTGATTCACAGAATCAGGGTAACAAAACTTTATTCTTCCTGCCCCAATAACAGAGAAACTGGGGATCCCACACCAGCCAAAGTAACCACTTTCAGTTCCTGTTGTTTCATGCCAGGCGGGTGGGTGTGCCTAGGCAAACACGATCAGCCCCTGGAGTTCTTTTCCACACTCGCCATAATTCACCACCAGATGTCAGGGTAGAGCTCATCCTGACTCTGCTTACACACAGGCCCGGCACATTGTCTCATTAGCCACTCTGAACTTGTGCAAACTTGGGCCAGTATCCGGCTGCTCAGGGCACTGCTTTCAAAGTTTCCTCCTTGGTCACAGGCTTGCAGCAGTGTTGCGAAATTCACAGACGTGGCTGGCTAAGCCAGACTCTTATTAGACTGAAGGAAAAAGGAGAGGGACAGGAGAGAGAGAAATAAGGTGGGGGAAGGAAAAGGACACATGGGGTGAGTGGAGGGGTATATGACGAAGTCTTACATCCCAGGCAGTAGTCAGGATTTAGTCGGGGCTGGTGGCAATGCCATCTGGGTGCCTCTCTCTCTTGGCTCTGTCTGGTCAGGCTAACTTTCAGGCTCAGGATGACAAAGGTCTTCCAGGGTCCCCAGTAGATGGTGGGGGTGGCGGCCATGATGCTGAAGCTTGCTCCTTCCCCTTCTCTCTTCTTTCGGTCAGGAAGCGTTTCCATCCGTCCGTCCGTCCATATTTTTCCCTCAAAGTCTCTTCTTTTATTTTTACATACCCCAAAAGGGAGTGATTGGTGAAATAGCCCGTCCCCTCATTACTGTGTCCACCAAAGGCCTAATTTCCGACACACCAATTTTGGTTCACCGATTTCCAGTCCCACGTATTGTTTATCAGCCATGATTTTAGCAGTGCTTGAGTTATATCACGAAGTCTTTTTGTTTGTCTTTTTGTCTCCTATTTGCACCTTTTCTCATCAGCATTGACTGTTATAGGTTATTGTGACACTTACCTTGTTTGTGAACAAGAACTGAAATGCAGAGAGCATAACTAGGAAGAGAAATGGATTGTTATTTATAGCCAGCAGCATGAACAAGAGGTGAACCTGTCAGAAATGCCTTAAATGAACCTTGCCAATTTCTGACTTTTTTCCAGTGTTGATTTTTCAAAGCCAAATTTTGAAGTATTAATTGTGGTGTTAACAGGATAGGCAAAGCAAAGAGAGTTACTGTAGCACAATAATAGGAATTCAAGAGGATGCTTATTGCGCAGGGATTTTGTGCGTTTAGGTTTTTGTAAAGCATGGCATATTATTAATAATTAACATAATACAAATCCATAGTACTCTGAAAAATATGGCATAATAATAGTCTGTTTATACACACACACACACGTATATATATATATATTATTAATTATATATAATACACATATACGGTGCCATGATTTGGTAGCCACTTATTTAACTATAGCAGCTGCTCTGTAGATAAGGTAGAAAGCCCGATTATGCCCATTTTCCCACTGAAAGCTCAGTGTCGTCCCCCCGCCGCCCTCCACACACTGTAAAATTCCAAGTAAAAATGCTTTTACTCTTGTGTGTGCTTTGTGGCCAGCAGTCAGTAGTTTTTAACCTAATTTGAGATTATTCCGACAAGTGGTTTTAAAGCAGTAGGACTGAGGGAAAAAATAGGCGTCCTTCATAGTTTGAAAATTCTTCTAATGCTTTTTGCCATGTCCTAGTTCAAAATGGTTCACCTGGGAGACTTCAGATGGAGGTTTACTTGAAAGAGCTCGGCGAGATGTTGTGCACAGGATCAAATTTGAGACACTGGATAGCGTATAAAAGAAGTCATTCACTGGCGAATTAGGACCTGAAGAATCCAGGTATTTTCCTAAAGATTGTCACATCCAGGAGGATCGTTGTGGAGCTGAGTTGCCTGGCTCAACTACAGTGCCTTAAAGCACCCACCAACGCACATTCCCACCACAGTAAAGTTTCATGAACACATCTCTGATACTAATCTGACAATTAAGCCCCATACTGACATTTGTTGTTTTATGTAAAACAAATGTAATGTCATGATCTGGGCCTAAGAAGCACTATTCTGTGCCTAACAACACTTGGGTCACATTTATGACCCATGGCATCTGAGGACCTTTTCCAGAGCCCCATGCAGGCAATGAAAAGAGTCTTCAATGGCCTTTGGATAAGGCCCTCAGTGAAGAGTGGGGAATGATGGTCTGACAGGGAATTTATAAAGCATATCTTTTGCTATAGACTGCACATAACTGTAAAGAAGGCTGGAGCTGGGGTAATCATAGGATCCATCAGTCTTTGTGGTCACTGACGAGATGAGTCTATGACTGTTAGAGGATCAGGTATCTCAGTGTTTGTTTTCTTTTTTTTGAAGGTGGTGCTGGTGGCAACAGTTAAGGTTGGGTGACTTATTGGGCATTTACCAGATTCAAAAGTCTGCATTTCTTTTATTTTTCCCTTCCTCCCATTCTTTTGCTTTT